TTGATTTGCAGAAGCTTTTTGATTTAATACAATCCCATATGTCAGTTCTTGTTATAACTTCCTGAACTATTGGAATCCTATTCAGAAAGCCATTGCTTAGACTGATAACTTAAATATTTCCCCTATGTTTTCCACTAGTAGATTCAAAGTTTTTAAGTCTTTCATCCATTTTGAGTTGATTTTTATGCATGGCAAGAGATAGGGTTCAAGTTTCAATTTTCTACATGTGGATACCTAGTTTTCCCAGCACTATTAATTAGACTGCCTTTTCTTGGATAACTGTTTTGGGAACCTTTATTGAAAATCAATAGCAGTAGCTGTGTGCCTTGTTGCTGCGCCCTCCACTCTTCTGCAGGTCTACATGTCTTTGTTCTGGTACCATGCTGGTTTTGTTACTGTGGCTCTGGAGTAAAATTTGAAGTCAACTATTGTGCTAGCTGTGGTATGTATGACCTTTTTTTGGTCAAGATTGCTTTGGATAGTCTGTGTATTTGTGTTTCTATGTGAATGTTATGATTGTTGTTCCAGTTCTGGGAAGAAAATCTTGGAAATTTGATGGGCATGACATTGAATCTGCATGTGGCTTTCAGTAATGTGACCATCTTCATAATATTCTGCTGACCCATGAACATGAGATATTTTTTGACCTTGTGATCATCTTAAATTTATTTCTTTAGTGTTTTGTAATTTTTCCTTATAGAGGCCTCTCACATCTTTGGTTAGATTTATTCCTAGGTACATTTTTTGGGGGGAATGTGGCTATTCTGCATGGAATTGTTTTCCTGATTTCTTTTTCAGTGGATTATTGATGGTGTACAGAAAACTATTGATTTTGTATGCTAATTTTTAATATGCTGCTACTTTGCTGAAAGAGATTTATCAAAGGTAACAGTCTTCTGGAGTCTTTAGGGTCTTTTAAGTGCAGGATCATGTTATCTACAAACAAATTATTTGGCTTGTTCGTTTCGTATGGGTATCACTTTTGTTTCTTTCTTCTCATCTTATTGTTTTAAGACTTCAATAACTACATTGAATGAGAGTGTTGATAGTGGATAGCCTTTTCTGATTTCTGATTTTAGAAGAAATGCCTTCAGTTTTTCCTCATTTGTTATAATACCGGGTAATTCTGTTCTGGTATAATCCTGTGTTACTAGTTTATTCAGAGCTTTTATGTAAGGAGATATTGAACTTTGTCAAAGGTCTTTTCTGAATTTATTGAGGTGATCATGTGATTACTTTTTGATCCTACCTTCTACTTACATGCTGCGTTACACTTATCTATTTGCATATGTGGGATGATCTTTGCATTCCTGGAATGACTCCAACTTGGTCATGATATATGATATTTTAATGGTTACTGAATTTGATTTGCAAGTATTTTGAGAATTTATCCTTATATATTAATCATGGAAATTGGCTTGCAATTTCCTTTTTTGCTGTGTCCTTATCCAATTTTAGTATCAGCATAATACTGACTTCATTAAATGAGTTCAAAAGTATTCCTTTCCTTTGTAGTTTTGTGGAGTCATTTGAGGAGCATTCATGTTACTTCTTTAAATATTCTGTAGAATTAAGTTCATTATTTCTTTCTTTGTATTAGTTTTTGAAATGCCCTAAGAAGTGATGATATATCATTAGGTTATTTATTTGAGATCTCTGATTTTTAAATACAGGCGTTTATAGCCATAAACTCCCCCCTTAGAATTATTTTCACTTCATTCTAATTTCTGTTCTCATTTTCATTTGGTTGTAAGAATTTTTTAATTCCCTCCTTAGTTCTTCAATAGCCTTAGTGATCATTCAAAAGTATGTTTTTCAATTTCCACGTGTTTGTATATTTTCTGTACTTTTTCTTGATGTTCATTTCTAATTTCATTCCATTATGATCAGATAAAATATGAGAAGTTATTTCTATTCTTTTGTTAACACTTGCTTTATGCATTCATATGAGCTGCTTTGGAAGAAGTTTGATGGATGCTGAGAATAATGGATATGATTGTAGCTGTTGGGTGGAATTTTCTGTAGATTTCTGTGAAGTCTATTTGATATATAGTGTCAGTTAACTCTGATGTTTCTTTGTAGATTTGTGGGGGAAGCAGGTTTGTATAAACTATCTATTGCTGAGAGTAGGGTATTAAAATTACTTATTATTTTTGTGTTGGGGTATATCTATGTTTTTATGTTCAATAGTGTTTGTTTTTTGAAAGTCTGTGTGGTAATGTTTGGTGTGAATACATTTATAATTGTCCTTTGTGTCTTCTAATTTTGGTTTAAAGTCTGTCTTGACAGATAAAAGTTTAGTTATTCTTGATTGCTTTGTGGTTCCATTTGTTTAGAATTTTTTTTTCCATCCTTTTAAGTTTGTGATTGTCTTTGCCAGTCAGATGTATTTCTTGCAGTTAAAGAAATATTGGATCTTTTGTTTTAATTCAATCTTCTAGTCCTTGTCTTTTTGTTTGTTTGGTTATTTTTATTTTATTTTTTTTGGCCTATTAACTGGAGAATTGAAAGCATTAATAGTCAGAAGAGAAAAGTTTTAAAAGTGGGAAAGATGAGAACAAATAGTGAAAGGAGAAACTAATCTATCTGGAAAAAAAAAGAATTGAAAGCTAGAGATAAGGAGAAAGGAGATGGAGGAAGAAGAGTGAATTTAAAATGTAGGCATGTGTTGGTTCATAACTAAAACCCCAGCATTTAGGAGGCAAAAGCAGGTAGATACTAAGTCCATAACTAACTGTATGGTGAGAACCCATCTCAGAAAACAAAACAGAACAGGAGAATGTAAGAAAAAAAAAGATATTAAAAGGTAAAGAAATGAGAGAGAAAAAGGAGAAAAAAGAAATTGTTTAAAATAGAATGAAAAAATTATATGTAAATATTTGAACCTAATGGTCAATAAAAAATGTCTCTATAGAAAAATAAACAAAATATACAATACCAAAAGTGGGATAAAATAAAAATAATTTTCAAAAATGTAAACAGGTTTCCAGTTCTCTAAGGAGGCCAATTGTGTGGACAGAAGTGAAAGATCTTGAGCTATGCTTATGAATTCTTTGGTATATAGCCACTTGGCTATGTGCCACCTAGTAAAAGCAGAATCTGAAATATTTGGCTACTTCTTTTTACCTTTCTGGTTCTTGCCTAGCAATAGTAGAGCATGGTTTGGGAGCAGTTACTCTCATCTGTGTGCTCATCAGGACTGGATGGAGAAAACAACAGGCTTTCTATCACTTGGTCCTATTCTCAGCACTATCAAATGTCAAGTCATGGGGCAGGGAAACCCTATGAAGATGTAGTTATCTGTCCCACTGCAGAAAGCTCACTTTCTCTACTCTCCAGTTCTCTGACTTTCTACACCTTAGCTCCCATACGTAATCACTTATAACCAATCATTCTTTTTTTTAGAGTTCTTGTGGTAGCTTCCCTAATTGATGGCTCCAAATGGGAAGTGACATTTATTCCCCTTGTGACTTCAACCCTGTTTCCCGCTATGTAGTTCTCTGCCTCTCTGACTCAAAGTCTTTCCCCTGTATCCAGTCCAGTTTTCCAGGTCAATACTTAGTTGATCAGAGCATGACCCTTGTTGGGAGGCCCCAAAGGCAGGAGAATGCAGGGACCTTGACTCTTAAACCTGGAGACTTAAGAGAAGAGCCATCCAAAATGGCTTCCCGCCAGTGCACTGCAACTGAATACTGGGAAGAAGATTGAGCTTTCCCAATGCCAGCATTCTAGGCAGATGCCAGGACCCCTGTTTGGCAAGACTGCAATTGTGGTTGGTACTGAGATCAGCACTAATTGTATTTTCTAGGAAAACAGTTTCAGCCCCCAACCTTTGCTAATCTACTTCTGTGAGTTCTGTGCACTGTAGTTCTCTTTCTCTCCATTTCACTCTCTACATTATTTTATTTATTTATAATATTCTGTCCACAACTGTGAAATTACAATGCATGTTTTCAGAGACACATTCTTTATTTTGCTGCAGCCTCAATTCCCTGCTGTGTTGCCTTTGTGTACTCTATGTTCTGCAGTGATCTTTTTCTCCCTCTGTTCCACTCTATAAATACTCTTTTTCTTATATAGTTGTGTCTGTTCACTACTGAAACTTCACAGTACTTCTCCAATATTATCCACCTTGGAGTATTACTGCTCTCCAGCTGCTCCAGCTTTATCCTGTGGAGATGCTAGGGTTCAGTAGATACTACAAGTCTGCCATCTTCCTGGCTTTTCCTAGTGGTACGTTTTCATTACTTGCTTTTTATTTTTTGTGAGTCTACTATAAGTTTTTGCCTTATGGTTACTGAAAGGTTCGCAAAACATTTGTAATAGATTATTTAAAGCTGAAAACAATTTAAATTTACTGCATGGAAAAAAAAGAATTTTTCTTCTATAACTCCCTTCATATTATCAATTATAATTGATTATATACTTTTCCAGTGAGTTTTATACTTGTTCATGTTTTTATGTTATACATTATTATCATTTTTCCAGCTTAGAGTGTTCTATTGAGCATTTATGGTAAGAATGATCTTTTAATAATTAATTCCTTTAGCTTTTGATTAGGAAAGTCATTTCTATAGCACAGTTCTTTTGGGCATAGTATTCTTGGTTGGCAGAATTCTTTCCCTCATAACTTTGAATATATCATCTCAATCACTTCTGGCTTTTAAGGTTTCTGCAGACACTTCTGCTACTATATATTTTGGAATGATATTACACGATATTCACTTCTCTTACTTTCAGAATCCTTTGTTTTTGGTTTTTGAAAGTTTGATTAGAATATGCTGGAGTAGTTTTATACATCAGACTGGAGTATGTTGGCCTTCCTGTTGCTTTTCATATCTTTCTCCATATTTTTTATTATTGTACTGGATGGGGATACATTGTGGTATTTATAAAATTTCTTACAATATATCAAATATATCGTACTTCAGTTCACCCCCTCCACCATTTTCCTTCTTCTCCTCCCATCCCCTATTCCTGGAATAGTTTTTAAAATAGTCTATGTACACCCTCCTATATACTTTAACATATTTCTAGACTACCTGCAATACTTAATGTAAACAATATGTAAATAGTTGTCATATTGCATTATTTAGTAAATAATAAAAACCATTTACATTTTCAGTAGAGATTCAAATTTTTCTTGAATATTTTTTATCCACAATTGGATAAAACCAAATGAATGGCTGGCTTTTGTTTCGTTTTGTTCTTCTCCCAAAATGGCTTAAAAGTAGCCTGGAAATAAGCAAGTCATTAAAATTGAATTCAGAAAGACATACAACTTCAGAAAAAAATACCTCATAGAAAATTAGGGTAAACATTTTGTAACAACAGGAATTAGATAAAGTGTTGAAATTTAAAGAACATCTTTTAATGGTTGAAGCCAGTCCTTCTGAGATGAATATGAAAGCAAAAACTGTTACAACATATAGCTTTTAATACACATTCTACTCTTTGTAATAGTCCACATAATAAATCTTTTTAGCATTTACATCTCTTAATACTAGAACAGCATTCTGAGATTGCCGAGCATAAGTTGCAACCAAGTAGAAAGAACACAGTCTATCTACTCAGATTTCCAGAAAAGATGAAGAGATACACAGTATGTAAAATAACAAAATCTTTAAAATACAGAGAACTAAAGTGTGCTAAAAATGATGTCCATTTGCATGATCAGTGACAAAAAATGTAAGCCCATTGATAGAAAGTAAAAATAAAAAATGGTTATTGCATCTTCTGCTGCTGTACAAAGGATTCCAGAGAGAAAGAAACTTATGTAATGCATGATGAATAGCTTATAAGCCAATCTATTATTTTTCATTCTTAAATGTCTTTCAAAATATTTTGTGCTGATGCAGTCCTGAGGTCTGACACTGCAACTTAATAGAGAAATTTCAAGCATGATAGTGTTTTCCTTTTGATGAGGAAGACAGAATTGGTTTAGACTGTCCACTCTTCCACTGAATTTGCCACCAGGAAACCAAACAGTGAATCAGAAGCATGTTGAACTGATCTAGTTTCTACAGACCATGCTAGAGACAGGTCTGTAGAAACTAAATCAATTCAATTTTTTAAGGTGCTATGTTTTATTTAAAATACAGATTTTAATGACATCTTTAATCCTTTTGAACTGTGCTGTGGCTTAGTGAAAAATATATAGTGTGCCACCATTTCTTCAACTAAAAGGTAAGGTGTGTTTGGTAAAAAATAAAGCATATTAAATCTCCATTTTGTAGATTTGTATTCCCAAAAGTCTTGATGTAGCTGAGGCATAAATGTAGATCCATTTACTACCTGTAAAGCAGAAGAAATGTTACTACTTTTCAAAAGCAGTAGACTAATAAAAAGATAGCAAATACTCAACTCATATAAATTCAAGATGTTATGCAGCCCATCACCTAAAGCTGACGACAGAAGTTCTGGGACCTTTACTAACAAGGCAATGCCCGTGCCAGCTGTCAAGAGCAGCACAGCATCAGATAAGATACAGTAGTTAATGAAATCTGTTGTGGACAACACAACACACCCCTACAACCATCTTCCATGTACTCATGTGTGTATCATTACTTTCTCCTGGTAATCCACTGAGTAAAAACACTGGAGTTACCATCTTCTATTTTATTACCTCATTTAAAAAATTGTCCATAAATTTTCCTAGAGAAAATTGTTAAAATACTTAAGACTCAAGCTTGTCTAAGAAAACCTACATTTCCTGTAATTCTTTTAACTTTAGTAAATCAAGTAATTGACAAAGAAAAAAACAGCTTAAAGTTTAAATGAAACTAATGTATTTGGTGACAAAACACTCTGGCAACTTCTGTAAGAAATCTGTCATTCAAGGATCATTAACAGTGCTGGATTTCATTATGTAAATTTAGCACTGAGTAATTAAAGAAAAAAATTTACAACTTATATTTTCTTTTTAAAAGCATGCTTTTCCACTAGGACAAGTTTTTGTTCAACTTTCTAGTGGATAATATCTTTAATTTTTCTGGAAATGGTGATATGAATATTTTTGTTCTTCCATACCTTGTTATTTGGCTAATGGTACATATTAAAGGTGATGAAATATTTAATTACTACAATGTGAATATGTTAAGTTAGCATTTTGAATATTCTCTTCAAATAGATTGTAGGCCAACCCTGGCCAGCCAAAACAGTGATTTTTCTGTCTCCGAAATAACCAGAGCAAAATGGTCTCCATTTGGGGAAGGCATTTACTTCTGTTTATGCAGGGGAAGGGGGACATAGATACTGATAACTAAATCATAGAGATCTGACTACTCACTACAGTTTCTCCAATACTCTTAACATGTTATCCATGTTTACCTGTTTTTTATCTCTAAACTCTGAATAACAAGGCTGAGTAATTCTCCTATTTTCTTCAAATGGAATAACTAGCATGCACACCCTGGACTTAGACAAGGCATGGTTCATATGTCGACATGCAAATATCCTGTTTTTATAATGATGTTTTCTTAATTTGTAATCCCTTTTACTTGCATGCTTTATCTAAATGGTATATTTTTTTCTTGATGTCTACTTTTTATTTTCTTTCTCTTATAAATTTTAGTCTACCAAAATCTCCACAATTTTAACTTTATATAAGTTTTCTTATCAATGGTACAGAAAAGCAAGTCAAAATTTGGGAAAAAAGCTATATTTGTGTTAACTTTGCCATGGTTATGATTACCTCTTTTTTCACATTCCTCCAGAATTAAAGATGTACTTTAGTGACCTGCTTGATATTTACTCATTGTCTTAATTATATTAAGCACTTTAAAAATTGGACAATATATTAAAAATGATAGTTGACTAGACTTTTCCTAATGTATAACTCATTTGATAAAATGTAAACAAGTACTACATAAACTAATGTTACTTAGGCAAAATGTATATATATATTTGATATACTTACTTTACTTTCTTTGATCTGCATGCACAGTATGAAATCATAAAAGCAACAAACATTACCACTCCTACACCAAGTAAGACCATTTCTACCAGGCCAAGGAGTTTTATTTTTCCAGTCACTTGCTTTCTGAACATTTCTGCCTTCTCATCACCAATGGTTCCAGTCTGTAACCAAGTTAATAATTACCATTATTTGGATACATTAATGAAACGAAATACTCAAACCCACTAACTATGCATCATACTTTTCTGTAAACACTAGTATTTGGGTATAAGTCATCTGTGTCCATAAAACAAGTTTATAATTCTCTTTAAATGTCAAAGAATACAGTAAATTCCAATAGAGTAGCACTACCCCTCTCTTTAAACATATCACCCCTCCCTGTATTAAGAGTCATTCAGATTGGTCTCTGAAATATTTCAAAGTGGTCTTCCACAGACAGAAGGAAATTAGAAGGAATGACAATTCTACTCCCTCTGAAAGCATATGTAATGCATTCTCTCATTCTGTGACTAAGCAAGTCAATGATTTACATTAAAAATCTCTCTTTGGGAAATGGGAGAGGGTGCCTACACCTGTTCTAATATGCCCACTAAGCATAGTTGATTTTTATTATTGTTATTGTTTGCAGTGAGTACATGTATGCATGTCTCTTTCCTAAATACCATGACAAGAAAAATATTTAATAAATGCATTTTGAATATAATTTTAAAGTGCTTTGTCTTTCTAAAAATGAAAATTAAATATTTGGTTTTGTTAGATAGATATAATTAATAATATGTAATCTAGCCCAACCATATAGGAAATGAAAATGCATACAACCTCAAATACGATATGTATATACAATTTTGAAATGGCAAAAGTTTTTTTATATGAAAAGTTGACTACTATTAATGACTGAAAAATGAAAATACTCACCTCATTAAGCCAAAGTATAGGCACAATGTAATGCCTCTTCAGCCCCTTTAATGCTCTGTAATATATGTTAAAAATGATTACAAAAATATGTACCAATACATTTGTATATTTAATAGACATTTTAGTAATTCCTAGTATAAATGGATATTCAGAAATCAATTGTTTATATATTTAATTTCCTTGATTTTATTCTCTACAATAAATCATTTAAATTTTAGTACAGCTTTCATAGACTTTTCACTGAAGTCTAACACAGGCTGTCAATTGGATTGGCTTTTTTTTCAAGCATACATTTTTTCCTTTTATTCCTGGGTAGAATGTTCTACCCAGGAAAGTGAAATATGACCTAGAAGTAATAATCACAAGAATAATTAGATTTCTGGTAAAATGAGGCACACCATAAAATACAATTAAAAGCACTTCAAACTACACAAATAACATTTCAGTAAACATAAGATATGATTTTAAATTGCGAGAAAGAAATAAAATAATAAAAAATTGTGAGAAAGCTTTCAGTAGTTATTGTATAAAGACATTAAGCTTAAATGAAGTTGATATTCTGCCTACTTTGATTGATCTATTCATGTTTTACAACAAAATGTTATAAATATAATCTTATTAAAGAGACTTACTCAATTTTTCTTGCTGGCTTGACCAATATGTTGACCTGCAGTCGTTTTGCAAATCGTAACGTGAATCCAGTTATCTAAAATAAAAACAAACTAAAATAATTACCAAGTTCTTTAAAAAACATTTTTAGAATATTCAAATGTTACTTTTGTTGTGACAGCAGAAAAATTATTAAGAAGCTCTTATCTTGAAAGAGGACTAATCGAAGCTATTAATATTATACATCTAACAATATGTCATTACATTCTATGTAAATATATGTGCACACACAATTTATTTGCCCAACAGAACAAAATCTCAAGGTTTTAGTTAAATTTGTGATGTTGACCTAAAATGTATTTGAGGAAATCTGCTGCAACAAAATGTAAGAACTCAGATAGCTAACTCCTGAACTATGAGGGACCAAACATATATTTAGTTCAAATCCTTATGTTAGTTTAATTATAATACTTCTTCTTACTGTAATTATTTAAACAAAAATGTAACTATTAAAATTGTAGAATTTAATTTTTGGTGTGTATGGTACAGAGATTGAAACCCAGAGCTTCCTATGTACTACATAAGTACTCTAAATTGAGCTAGATTCCCTCTTTGTCTTTAAATATTAAAACTGTTGTGTTATAGATTTCTCTACACTAAGTAAAAATAATAGATTTTGTCTAAAAGTTACATATAGTCAAAAACCCTTTAAGCGCTGATAGGATGCAATGACTCCTCACAGAAGCAATACCTGCAGTTAGTGTAATGTAAGCATAAAATTGCACTATTGTAAGACTGTAAGACTCCTGATTCTAGTCTATTAAAAAAGCTTGTGAAGTTCTGTACGTTGAAATGAAAATTGAATTTTCTTGCTATCTATATGCCATGATAGGAAGAAATCAATGTAATTTTCACTAACATAAAGTTTCAATAATTTATTAAGAACATGAACAAAGTGTATCTGAAAAAAATTATTTCACTTTCATTATTTTTAAAGAACTATATTAAGCAAAACAAATCAATAATACATTTGCTTACAGGTTCAATATCCAAGTATGTCCTGTGTTCTTCTTCATTTGGATTTAAGCCTTCAATAGGTTCTGAAATATCAGGACTTGCATGTAGAAAGTGAGGGAGTGAAATATACACAGGTTTTCCTGTAAATGCATTTTAATAGTCATTTAGAAATAAATCTCTTTCCTCGCTTAACGTATCATTCAAACTATTTCCTTAAAAAACAAACCATTTTTAGATTAAGAAAAATAGTTGTTTTTGAATGCCAATTATAGTTGAGAATAGGAAAGAATTAGATCAGGTTACTATTATGCACAAATAAAATGTCAATTCCTGCACATCCTACTATAAAGTCAGTTGGTGTCTCTTCATTCTTTAGGTGCTAATTTTCAATATACCAAGTTTCATTGCTAAACAATGTCTATGGACTGAGAATTATTTTATGAGTAATGTTTTTCCTTCTTCATTCACATCCATTTCAGTGCAAAGAATATGACCAAGATAAGAGACTCTACATATTGTGTTTATCAATCCTTGCTTTAGGGACATACTAAAAACATTTACTTTTATTTATCATTTTCTATGGGGGAAAAGCCAGAACAGTGGCAGAAGGAGAACTTGGAAAGCTCGGAGTGTCCTTGGAATTTCCATTTCACCCTAAACAATGTAGCAGGAACAATATGGGTATGATTTTCTCAGTAACTGAGTTTGGCAATACTGAACAACAATTGAGACCTCAAAAATCTAAATAAAACTAAAATTTTCTGCCACCAACCTTTTTGGGTTTTGGCATTATTGCTTTAATTAATTTTAAATTTTCAGCAGAAAAAGACTTGTTGGTAAAAGTTACATTTTAAAGACAACTACAATAAAAAAGAATGCTATAAATTGTATCATGGGCTGTGATACTAATCTTATTTACTCACCCTCTTTGCATTTGCCGATGTCTAGCACACCGTATGATGTACAGTTATTTGAGATAACAGTTTCTGTGCAGAAACAATGATTGTCTGGATTTTGGAATGGAGATGCAAAGGCCTTGGCTGGAAGAACAAATCTATACACAGGAATTCCTTTCAGGTCAATTTCAGACCCAAACACTGCATAGATTGACCTACACAGGGATAGAAATGACCTTCATTCCAGGAAACTGAACAATATGCAGCAGATCTATATTTTTCTTACTTTAGTTTATACTCTTGCTTTAACTTTAGAAAATTTCGCAAAATTTTAAGACATAACAACTCAATGCATGAGCGTGAAATATTTTTACTTCTGTTCTCAAAAGCTTCTAAGGACAAATTTTCTTGTGAGTTACCATGGAGTATGTATATCAAAGATCCTTCTCATAGTTCTCCCCCTATAGATGAAGAATTTGAAGTCACATAAATATTTGCACCCAGTTTAAATTAAATAAAATTTCTATCCTTCTAATTTAATCTTGAAGAAAAAAAGCTACTCCCTTGCTGGACTGTGTGTTTCATATGGACCTCCATCAATTAACAAGTTTTCACCATGACCTAGGCAATATGCCAGAGCTCAATATGTATTTCTTTGAATCCTCAGGTAACACTATATGAAGAAATACTGCTTTCATCAATTTTACAGATGAGAAAAAGATGACCAATGCTCGCCTGCAATCTCACAGTCTTTAGAGACAGGGTTAGGTTCCAGAACAGTGGTATTTGGTCTCATCCACTGAGTCCCACCAATTTGAAACACGATTGACATGGCATTAATTATAACAGTTCTGTGACACTTGCATTATCTTCTCTGGATATCTTTAGAAACATTGTGCATTCCCTACTAGACAACTATTATTAAATACACTAATAGTTTATTCAAACATGAAAAATAGTTCTTAGCAAGGGCAAAGAATGAATTGCATTTTAAAAAGTTGAATCATATAGGCTATTTTGCAAAGAGTTAACATAAATTCCCCATAGTATTGCATCTGTTAAGAAATAAAGAAAAAAATCCCTTTTTAAAATTTTTAAAAATCAAATAACACATTAGATAAGGGTTTTCCAAGCTTCGTTTTCTTGCTTAGGAGAAAAAAATGTATGACTTACAGACATACATTGGTGTCTTTGTCTTACCTGCAAATGTCAGAGGAAAAGAACCGAAGTACTCGAGACTTGTCAACAAAAGGTGGAAAAGAGGCTGCATCTATTTAAAAATCAAGCCAGTGGCAAGTGATAGATGTAATGTACATTCTAGAAAAATCTAGAAGTCTTTTTTCAGCATAGCAAAGAAATATAATCCAAACCACCTATATAATTTTCAAGTTATGTAAAGTTTAAAGAGTAAAAAAGAAACAGGTATATTTTATTTAATCCAATATATCCAAAGTATCATTTCAACAGAAATCAATAAAAATAATATATTTTTTATTGTCAAAGTCCAGAGCACATTTTTAACTTAGAGCACATTTTAATCATACTAGCCATATTTAAAGTAACTAATAGCCACATGTGTTTAGAGGTTATCAGATTCTACAAGACTGCATACTCTACATATTCAGTAGTGTAAAATAAATGACAAAGACATTATCATTAAAGTTGTGGTTAGTGTGTTTTTGAAATGCCCTGTCTCATCAGCAGAGTGACACTTCTGAATTTCTTTAGAACACCTGTAATAACAGCATTGTTTTTATTAAGAGCAATTCATTCATTTGTACTAATGGCTGATTTGTATTATTTTTTAAACCATTTATTAAAGTTCTCTCACTAAATAGGATTTTCTGCAAATGCTGTAGAAATGTATCCATCACAAATTAAAACAGGCATATATTGAGTTTACTGAATTTCTATTACAGTATGCTCCATAACACACATTGAATGAATGAAGAAATAACCAAATAACTCCTCCATTTGCTTCTGAAATGAATGTGACTGAAATGAACCAACATTGAATGTATTTGTTTACAATAGTAAGATCCATTCTTCAATTATTCATTCCAGTTTCTTTTTCTGACAAGTTTAACTCTGAGATCTTGTTGACCTTCATTTACACTCTTGTGATGTGTGAAATATAGCAGGATTAAAATGATTACTGATTGACTCTGGCAGTAAGAGGATTAGATATTAAAGTTTAGCTTAAATCCTCCATATTGGTTCCTATACAGGAATGGCCTACAACAATTAAGGAAATGCCTTCCCAGTACCTTAACAACTAAAAGGAATCCATTGCAAACCTTTAAAAATCAGAAATCTTTAAATGTTTATCAAAATTTTAATTTGATGTCTTTTCAAACTTATAGAAGAAGGTAGAGGATGTGCTTTTAAATTATGGTGTTTTCACCATAATACTCAGATTCCTCTTTTAGTATTTGCTTCTCAGTCCCGTAATCACACTCTCTCCCTGCCCTGTGCAACCGATCTCTGCTTCTGTCTCCTTACACTTCTGCTTCCATTCCTTCAACTTCATGGCTGATGTTCATGCACTTACATCACCATCACTGATGAATCCTCTAGCCTCTAGCTACTTTTGTTAAATCTAGCTATGAGCTTTGGACAGAATACTCTAATCATTTTTCCCTTCACCCCATAAAGAATTCTTTAGTACTTAGAAGCAGCAGAGTACGCCTCTGTCTCTGAGGACTAAGTGTCATGCTTGTGACACTCTTCGTAGTTTTGAGGCTCTTGACAATTTATTCGTAGAAATGCTCTTAGGAAGCATTATGCCCATGACTGAAAACCCTACAAAGCGAATCCAGCAGAGTTTTTGCTCTTCATGACAGTAATACGATTAAACATACATAACTCAGAGGTACATATCCCCTATGCTTAAAATTTCATCTTTATTAAACTGGTTTCCTACTGGGTATTCCCTTTCCTACTTTGTAAACATTATGCTTTTATTGCTTAGTAATGTAACACTTGCCTTTGGTTTTAATTACTTCATGGTATTTGATTCCCATTGCTTCTTAAATCTTAGTTCTTAAGCTAACAGACATATGTGTATTTTACTTTTCTTCAAGGACAACAAACCAGATCTAGCTGTACACAAAATGAAAAATTTTAGTTTTTTATTTCCCCAAGTCTAATTCAGAATTCTCCTTGTTTACACATATTTTTCATGGTTAATAAAGTAATCTGACCTTGTTAATTTGTTGTTTCTTTCTCTTTTCTCTCTCGTTCTAATTCCTTTATCCAAGAGAGATGGTTCTATTCTGCAACTTCACTAAATACCTCGGTTTTTCGAATTGTTGTGCTGGGTGGGAGCACATTGTGGCATTTACAAAAGTTCTTACAATGTATCAAATATTTTCTTGAATTCACCTCTTCTACCACTCTCCTTTATCTCCCCTCCCCTGCCCCATTCCTGGAACAGTTTCAACAGGTATTATTTTTATATTTACATGCATATGTACACAGGTACTTTTGAATCTCACTTGGAAGGGCAGTTTCCCTTTAGTAATTATGTTTCAATTCTAAGTTATCCTTATAGAACGTTGGGAAGATGTGAACAGTAACTACACCCTACGTTTGTTATTTTGTTGTTTTGAACTCAGGGCCCCATGCTTGCTAGGTGAGTGCTCTACCACTCCAGCCTCAACCCCAGTCCCTTTTCCATTGGTATTTTCCAGACAGGCTCAATGTTTTTTCAGGAGTCAGCCTTGAACAGCAGTTCTCCTAGCTCTACCCCACAAGCAGCTGGGATTGTAAGCATAAAGCACTGTCCCAGCTCACTTGTCTTTTTCTTTTATTAACCACTTATTTCTGTTGCCAGATGGCAGCTCATTAAGTATAGTTTTTGTAGAGCAATCGTTTCCCTAGTAATATAGTAAGGGGTTAATCTCAAAAATCCCATGACATTGAGCAGACATTTAGTAAACCTATGTAAAAATACAGACTGAATTATTTTGTGGGGATGTAAAGACAAATAAATTTATACCCTCAACCTTGAGAATACTGTAGGTTTGGGGTAGGAGAAGGTGAGTCATGTGATCATTACCACAAATGTTCTTACCTGTGCCATTAATCATGTCACAATAACTTGGCCAATAGGTGAGATTCCTTAGGGATAAAAAAAAGAAGATAAACAAATATTTATATTTCAACAGCACCTTATTCACCTTCCTTCTTCTATTTGGATTTAATACGCTTCCTAGCATAAGGAAGATTAAATGTGACAAATACTAAGTTCAGGAAATGTTCTAATGTTCATTTGATCTATGTTTTATTTGAAACTTAAATCCCTTTGCATCAAATTAATTGCCCGACACTATTATGTGGACAGATCAGAAAATAAAAACAGCCAAATGCTAAGTTACCTAGAAACAACCTGGAATAGACAAAGAAGAAAATAAAAAACTTTTATTAAAAACATAGGCCTCTACTTACAGATTCATTTTTTTCAATGAGAGAAATGAATTATTTGGGAATATGTTGAGTGTTCATACTGAATAAGAGAAAATTAAGTGAGAATCCCGGAGTAAGATAGAAAAGGGAAGAGAAGCAAAAAAACAAAAGCTAATGTTTGGACTCATAGAATTTAAAATATAAATATTCAATTTCTCCATTTTCCTGTTTAAACATTTGCATGGAATGACATTAAAATAGGACAGAGTTTATTGGCTAATGCTTAATTACATTATCTTAAATATCTATATGGAAGCAAAAATGATAAAAAAAATAGTAGTTTCCTTGCATTATTAGTCATTTTTAGTGATGGAAAAGCTATTTTTTTCCACTTCTAACATATCATCTAGTGAAATATTGATACAAGCTGTTTTATTTTTTAAAGAATATGCTAATAACCATGGTCTTGTCATGAGAAGTTGAATCAACCTTATTATGACCTTAAAGTGATATATAATTCTTATTCTAATTAGAAGCTCTTAGCAACTCTCCTTGAAGCCACTCTATTATTGTGATGTTGAAATGGAGTGAAGTGTTCATTGTCCAATATATAAACTTTGATGTGATTTCCTCTAAAATAAACACTGAGAAGTATTTGTTTTTTCCACTAGATTTTTCTATAAAAATATGTAACTGTGTACTCTTTAAAAGAAAAAATGCTACACCAGTAAATATTTAACTATTACATTAAATAAGGACTTAAGTTTGAGGAATTGTTTACTTATGTTAATAAAATCATTTACTTTTTCAGTTTTGCTTATTTTATTTTCTTCAAGAAATAATTGATCTAAAGTACAATTCAGAACTTTTAGGAGAAGAAAGAAAGGATTTCTTCCCTGATATTAATTAGTCTTCTTTCTATTTATTTTACACACATGAAAAATTATAAATCCTTCAGATGAGCTGTCAGGAGCTGGAGAAAAGAAATAATGATTTTATAAAGTTATTTTGTTCTTTTACTATTTTAAAAGTGGTATTTTTGCATTTAATATGCAAATTCTAGAACTGTACTTGAAATGGTAGTTTCATTTTTGCATTGACACAGGCAAAATAGCACAGTCATCAATATAGAGCCCTATTTCAAGTCAGTTTACAGGGAGAACTCATGAAAGTGTTTGCCTATATTCATTATGCTTCTGTATTTATGTAGATGCATTTTAGACAGGTAACTGAAATACACAATTTCTGTTTGACATGGCGAAGTAGAGAAACATTAAAAATAAAATATATTTTGCTACCTATTAGGCCATTGATGTATTGATTTTTCTTTTCACTATGATTATCTCACTGTATTGGTGCACTGTAATTCTGGATATGTTGTGGAGATGAAAATAATCCCTTTGCACATTTTTATGGAAGAGAACCTGTGCATCAAGCCAACTCAAACCTGAAGTAGAGTTTTAATGTTCACTGGTGTCAACATGTCAGTGGCACAAATAAGGGGTTAATGCCTAGTAGAACAGTAATTTCCAGGGTTGATAATATAGCCTGGTCTGTTTTATAGTTGGATTGAGTGCCTTCCCAGTTGTTAAACAAATACCACTCCTGTCTTGAGCACACACACACACACACACACACACACACACACACTCTACTCAGTACCTACCTTTTCCCTTTATAACTTTCAATTATAGCAACTTTATTTATGTCATCCTTTCCATTGAAAACCTTATAAACTCCATCTACAGTATTGTTGTACTGAAAAGATACAAACAAGAACAGTTATATGTATGTCAAGTCATATTATTCACATTAACATATGTAATCAACTCACATTTACACTTCTCTAACACTGCTTATTCAGAATTATTTTACATTACTTAAAATATAAAATGCAGTTAAGTCTGTTTAAATTGTGAGTTTAAAATTTTTTAAGGGATTATATAAGAGTTTCCTAGGAATAATTACAGATGCTGAATAAGAAAACAAATATCAGAGGTTGATGTGACCCAAACTGTAGCACTTTATGACAATTAAGTCAGGAGGCCACTTTGATCACCATCCCTATATGCTGAAGTGTGGACATAAAGAACAAAACTTATGAGAACAACGTATTTCTAGAGGCATTATAAACATTATGATCTTTAACAAGTGGGTACTAAAGTGATAAGGATTAAGCATACAAAATTAAAAACTGAATTAGCCAAGGGAAGACATGAGTATTTTAGCACAAATAATAACTGAATCGCTTGTTCTTTAAGACTTTCTACATTAACAATTGCAAGGTCATATAACCCTGCAATCCTAAATAACATCTAAAAGTAAAGTAACACAGAACTGGAAAATATAACTAGTATTCACATATAAATATTGCCAAGTGAAATCAGTCAAAATGCCAATTCAGTAAAGAGAGTTCATCCTCTTGGTAATTCAAAACATTAACTCATAACTAAAGTACACATCTTCTTAACCTCCAAACTGCCATTCATGGTATTTGTGGACCACTATAAGTTCTTATTAAGAACTCATGAATAAGACTTGCTGACAATCTCATGTGAAAATTCTAGTTTTTTAAATTAAAATTAAAACAAATTTATAATTAGTTTAGAAAAGGAAGAATGACAACATGAATACATTTAACAAAATAATATATAGTATTGAACTTGATTTTGTGAAAAGAGAAAAATCAAAATTGACAATAGTGTTCAAGAATTTATAGACTTACAAGCTAATTTTATATAAATTTTATATTTAAAAAGATCAGTAATAAATCTTAGTTTAAAATTATTTTAGCTAAATAATTAAAGTAAATTTTCCCACTAGGAAAGCTGAAACCATATGAGATGGGGACGTTAAAAGAATTAGGATAAATATTCCCAGATCAACAATAGAGCTAATAAAGTAAATTATAAACTATGCCTTGCTAATGACATTGTTTTTCTACTGCTAAAATAGAGTAATATGGCCACTCGCGTTTGGTACTTACAGGATAAAACACACCAACTGTGGTAGAAATAGGGTACGGAACCAAACTCAGGAATGGATCCTTATAACCCCATAATAGTTCTGTCAGAGTTCTGGTTTGGAACATAGAAGATTTTGATTTTTTGATAAGTGAATTGAGCACCACTTGAACAAATGCATTTTGATAGATATGGGGTGCAGCCTACAAAAAAGAAGTAACCATTTGAGATACTAAGGCAATAGCTTTTTTTAAACAAAATAAAAAGATTAAATACAAGAATTGAGTTTAATAAAAAATTTAAATAAATCTTTGAAATTATTGCAAAATTCTGTTTAGACTAAAAGTATAATTTGACTAATCCCTAGATGGTCACATTTCTCTGCCTCATGTCCAGTCACAAAAAGACATTGCAAGTAAACCCTATTTTTTTAATGATGTACTTTAAGTGATCTTCTAATTCAGTTATTATGATTTTGTCATTTTTCCAAATAACAAAATAACTGTTACAGTCTTTCATAAAAATGGCAAAACAACTAAAATCTATTGATAATTCTGATGATATTAACCATGGTGGTTTTTGGAGTATTTTAAACAAATAAGTATCATTTGTCTACTTACTGCTACAGCCAGGTTGAGAACTGTGAATGTGTCATTCTCGGTTCCAACTGATAGTGAAGGTTCAAAGATGGCAGAATTGGGCTGCACAAAAGAGACTGTGTGGTCCTCAGGGTCCTGAGTTATATTCTCCTTGGCTAGATAACGAACTCTGGAAAAAAAAAAAGAAAACAGAAGCAAAATTCAAACACTATGTTTCGTGTAAGCATTAGATACCAAATGCCACTTACTTACTCAACAAATACTATTTAAGCACACAGACTATGTCTGGAATTATGTGAAGCAATTGGGTTAAAATGATAAATAATAAATTAGTTCTCTACCAAACTAATCAGAAGTATCCTAGACTTGCAAATAGGAAATTAGAATAACAGAGGAGATGTATGTTATAATGGAATTTTATACAGGGTCCATCAAAACCAAAGAACAGATATAGTCCAGGCTTCGGATGGTCATAGTGGGTGGGGGTAAGGGTCAAGATCAATAGGGTAATAATTCGAGTCAAGCAGTTAAGATTCAAACAGAAGTTTACTTGGGTAAAGTAGGACACAAAGTAGCGAATAAAACAAGAGCATGATGCATTTGGAGGAATGCAAATATCTGAGCGTATTGTGGCTTGAAGACTAAGAGTTAAAAAATGGAGAGAAATTCACTGAAATAAGCAAGCTTTCAAACGCAAAAGGACTCCATACTGTACTCAAACGAAGTGAAGGAGAATATTGAGTACATTTTTTATACTAAAAAGAACTCTCAAAGTACGTGGCTCTGACTTTGCCATCTTTTTTTTAGTATTTTAATGAGAACAAGAGGTAAGAGAGTATGATTTCCCTTTTTAAGGACTATATACCAACTCTCCCTCCTTCCTGTATGTATTGAATACTTAGTATTTCTAAGCTCCTGACTTTAACATCTCTAGGATGTAAAGTACAAAGTACCTTTGGGGAACTGGGTGAAAGGTGATTATTATGGTGAAAATATTTTGCAAGTACAAGACATTTACTGAAATGAAACAAGGTATACACCATTCATAACACTAATATATATTTGAATGTCTATCACGTGAGCTGAATAAGTAAAGACTGAAAAAGCATCAGACTGAAATTTAGGTAAAAATACACTTTAAGCTATAAAGAAAATAGGAATATTTGTAAGGTGGGGATGATGAGTCCCCAAGAACAATGCATAAGATAGTGAGTTTTCAGTATTTTCTTATTTCATTATGGGTAAATCAAAGCCTCACATTATTGTAAAAGAGGATTTAAAACAAGTTAGAAAAATATTTTATTTCTAATATACTTTCACCGGTTTTATTATTTATGATAAAAGGAGAATAAATGATACAATAATATTATTAATACAATAAAAATATAAAAAATCTGGAACAGCACCCAAAACAGTAAATTACTAATAATGCATTTTCTTTAGATTAACTGTATTTTAAAATTGGAGTATATATTATTAACATTTAAATTCAAGCTACTCTAGTTTTAGGAACATTTAAGTAAACATGATAATTCAAACACTAGAAAAATAATTTTGAACCAAATTTGTTATCTTACAGTGTACTTTCAGCATTATACCAGTAGATGGCACTCACTAAGAGAAAATCCTTAAAACAGAGCTCTGCCTTTAGAAAGTTTAAAGAGAATATAACCATTTAATTGGTTGTTTCAAAAACTGGTAGTTTTTAGGGCTGGCAGGATGGCTCAAGTGGTAGACCACCTACCTAGCAAATGTGAGGCCCTGAGTTCAAGCCCCAGTACTGCAAAAAACTGGTAGTTTTGGAAAATGTTAGCTGCTAGGGTCAAGGGAGAATCTGTCCTAGATTTTGCCCAAGATTGCTTTCTTCATACTCCTGCCAAAGCAAAAGTAACTTTAAAATGATGTAAGTTATATATGAGAATATTATGAAGTAATTTCAGTATTCACAGCGTTGGTCTAGGTCAGAAAATAACTAAGATCTTGATGTGGGCAATTTTATGCTTTGACCCATGCTCTAGCTTGTCAATCAAGGTTTCATTAAACTCAGTTCAGCAGTCATTGGCCAAGTAAGCCTGTGTTTCTGTTTGAGAAGAAACATCTTCCTGTAGTTCCGGATTTTTGTAGATGTATATCATAGCTATAATATTCTTCTGGAACAAGATACTGATATAAGCTTTTACTAATGACATAAGAACTGTAAGATCAAGAAAAATATTTTCCCATCTTCGACATATGCACAGAGATGGCAAACTTGGAGGAAATTGATAAATCAAGATAGGCATCATCATCCTCTCCAGTTTATAAATCATGTATTACAGTAGTAAATGATATCATCACAACTATATATAATTATATATAGTTATATATGTATTTTTATATATATATATAATTTGTGGTGTCAATTGTCAATCAAAAAATATAGTAATGATTTGGAGAGAATGGAAAATTATACAATCATAAAATATCCCAAACATGTAAGAATTATGACTGAATTATAAAATTTTTACAAACATAAAATCCTGTGATATAAGTTGATCATGGTATACAAGTAGTTGTAATTATCCTTGAGAGAACATTCCCATATAGATATAAATATAATACTAATCCTTGGTTAAAGCAGTGACTTTAGCACCTAAGTCTTCCCTTTAATTACTTGATAGTTGGATAAAAAGATACTCCACGATATAAATGGGAGAAAATGTACACAGAAATCTATGAGTTACCCATCTCTTCATTTGTATAAACATGGACAAGTCACTCCTCATCCATTGGTGTCAGTTTTTCTATTTACAATATAAAATGTTCTTATTGATCATTCCTCCTACTTCTAAGAGTCCATTAGGTAGGATAACTGTGTGGTATATTTAGTCTCAGTACATCAGAAATTACTAGATAAACCTAAATACCTGTATGACTTGGAAATTTGTTAGACTATAAATTCTTTGCAGAGACTGCAGTTAAGCAAAATCAATTTAGTGCTATGATTCTTAAAACTGAATATAAATCTGAATCAAACAGAGGTTTTTAAAGGTCATAACTGGTCTTCAAACTGAGATTCAGATTCATCTGGTGTCTGAGAATGACTGGCTCCCGGTGACTCCAATGCTAGAGGTGCAGGAGCCAGGCTTTGACAACCACTGATATAAGGTAGGCGCTTAATTTTAAGATATTAAATGTGAATAGGCCTTTCCCCCCTGCTCAGAATGCTTATTTCAGAGTTGAGAATATATGCCGTAAGTGCCAAACAATACAGCTCTGAATTCTTAAGTGCAGGGCAGTAATTTGATATTAGTACATTTATAATAAAATCTGTATTTCTTTTCTATATCCTATCTAATAATATTTATATATATAATTATATTTATTATATATAATATATATAATTATATATATTTATTATATATATATATATATTTTTTTCATTAATCCAAATAGTTATTATATCCTTAGATTAAGATTCTATCAAGGTAGGAAAAAATAATTTATGGTACATTGTTGGCAAGAAAATAAATACATTTCAATACAATGGTTTTGGTCAGGTGAAGCCTTCTCAGAAGGCTTATGCTTGAGGTAAGTGTGACACTCGTTTCTGGGAATTCACTCACCTGTATGTGTAAGGACCTCTTTGTTTAACCTTAATATTGCTGCTGTTCTCTACCACTTCCTGTGGGTTTTGCACATCAAAGATCCAAAACTGCCTGTAAACTTCTGTGCCTGTTTTAACCCAGTTTTTAAAAGCAATTGTACCTTCTTCAAGGACAACTTCCTATGAAAAAGAAAACAAGTTTGAGTTGTTTCTTTCTAGTATGTATGGATGATTCTAGGACTTTGCTTGTAACATTTAGTCATCCAGAATAAAAGGACCACATTAAAATATCATACCAAGAACATCTGCAACTCTGTTGTGAACGTGAAGCAGAGATTTTTTTCATTATTTTATAACAACATCCTTTGATTAGCCCCTTATGAAAAGAATCAGTGGTAATACAAAAGCAATGGCTATTGATTTTATGGCAAGCTTTTGGGTGAACCATTACAGTCAATAAATAGCACAATTTAGTAAAACATTTATTCAAGTTGATCCAAAATGTTCTTATCATGTTGGCTCTTCTGCCCCTAAGTAGCTGGCTTGAGGCAAAACAGAAAAACCAAGAGAAAAATTGAATAGTATCAGAAAAGTTTTTCTTTTCCTTCAAAAGTTGGACAATTCAGGGTTGATGCCTCAACATGTATTAAATGAAGAAAATAAATGCTTATGGATGGAAACAGATACATGATTTTTCCTCTTCAACATCTCCCTCAATATGGCCTCTCTAATTCTTAATATATTTGCAGAAACTCATTAGTCCACATCTCGGGGAATTATAAAGCCTAATTCATAGTTAAGGGGCTAATAGTTTTTAAAGAAAATGACAAGATAAGGAAGCTGCCCTATTTGTGTGTGCATATGTGTATATGAAATCCATTAAAAATCATGGGTGCCCTTTGTACTGAAAATAGACAAATAGAAAATACGCCACTGACACACTTTAATCACCTTACATTAGAAATCTGGTTCTTTATTCAGGAGCTTTGGGGCCAAGCGGAAAGTCATCGAACCCCTCAGAATTCATTTCATGATCCACATGATAAGGAAGTTACCTTAGATGCTCTCTCAATTTTCTGCCTCAGGTTTTCCTCTCTCAGCAGGTAGTCTATGAAGCTATAGTAACTAGTGCAAACAAAGGAGATTTTATATCTCATAGTATTTCAAATTAAATGCTTTGTGAAGAATGCCCTGGTTCAAGAGCTCCAACTTATCTTAGTGTAGAAGAAAGTGATTTCACAGAAAATAAGCCTGAAGAGACTCATGAATTCAGGAACAATCTGACCTACTTTTTCCCTTTACCTGGAAGCATCAATTTATGATGGGTCAGGAAAGGACAGTGAACATTAATGATCACAGTAGAGCGCACTAAACTCTAAGAAACCAGGTGACTGGCTTAGGTGAAACCCAGGCAAATTGCATAGCCATGAGGAAAACCCTTCCCTCTGACCCTTATTCTAGTCCTTTTATGTCATGCTATTACTGGCTTTATTTAAAAAAAAAAAATCACCCCCTGTACTTAGTTGATTGAGGTAAAAAAAAAGTTTCAGATTTTCAGGATATTATATTGCTTAATGCAGAGAATAAGTGATTTCCTTAGACAGGATCTGGGCATCCAGCTAAAATACAATTACAAAATCCTATGCTGTTGCAATACACACTGGGAACAAGTGCTGCTAAAGTGACAGTTGAATCTCTCTCTCTCTTTTTTTTTTTACAACAAATTGTCCTTGAAAAACTCCCAAATTTATTCCCCAGAAGGCTTATGCCCGCAATTACAAACTGAATATTAAGACAAAATTACATAAATTATGACATTCTTCTAAAGGTAGAGGTGTTAGTAAATGTTGAAGCTGAAACCTGCATTAATTTACCCAATTTTGAGAGACTCTGAAGGGAGAATACACACACACACACAAAATGTAGGTACATAGAAGAGTGTCAGTACACAGCAGATGCTCAATAAGTGTTAACTATTAGTGTTATGCACATCTTTTCCACTCTTTATAAACTCTATTACAATTTACTCATAACTGGTCTTAAACAGAAAAATTTTCCCTTCTTTAAAAAAATTTTTCACATTTGTGCATTATGTGTATATGCTGAAAGAAGATGAGTTAGCATATTAGTGACAGATGTTCTGAGAACCAAAAAATGGCTTTAGTATTAGATTATCATTAATTAAAACCCCAAGTAAAATTTGGTGAAACAATAAGTAATAATTCTGGCTCATATACAAATCAGCCTTCCAGAATTTATGTAAAGTCTAAAATGGAAGATTTTGTATTTAGTATGACAAGTAAACTACGGTGATGTTAAAATGGGCTGGAGGAAGAAAACTATATATGCTTTATTGCTATTTCTTAAAACATTGTTTTTAAGTGACATGTTTTTATAGCTCGGTGGAAAACGGAAATATTTGTAGTTTAATTCATTTTAATATTGGAATTTTTGTTTTGTTTGTAACCCAGGCTGACCTTGAACTCCTGATTCTCCAGTCATAGCTTCCCAAACCCTGGGATTACAGGTGTGAACCACCATGCCCAGCTCTATTGTTTTTTCAATTAAAAAAATTTTTACATTGCTTCTTGTTCTCATCTTATGTCATTAAAGATAAAAACATTCTATCATCTTTAGCAACTAACAGTTTAACATTTCTTTTTTAGCTTGGTAGACATTAGAAAAAAAAATCAAATTATTTTATTATGTCTGGAAGTACCAAAATTATATATTAAATTATCATAAAAACTAACTTCTATTATTAAAATATGAACTATTGATTCCAAAGTTAAACATTTTAATAAATATGATTTGATTAAATTATTATTAATTATTAAAGTAATTGTCACTTCAATTTGCCTTGTCTAAAAGCATTTTTTTTACCAGCTACTAAAGGAATATTCTTTTCAAAAATGGGGAAGGAAATAATAGTATAATTGAATGAATAAATAATATGATGAAATAATTGAATTTTAATCTTTTTTGATAGCCAAAATCAAACCTTTAATCTCATTTTGGTGTTCTATAGTCAATTTAATAGGGAAATTGGAATTTATTTAAGGTAACCTACACTATAAAATATTTACTAAGCTTTCTATCAAGTGATGTAAACAATATCAAAGATTAAATTATCTTTTGCAAATGGTGGCAGAACTTTGACCTTTTAAAGTGCTTTGGTAGTTTGTTCATTCATGGTACCTCATGCTATTGACTTTTAGTCTTTCTAGGAAGATTACAGAAATCTGCTAGCTCTACACAAATCTATTAGGAATCGTGCTAAATAATACTGGTAAGAATGATTTTAGTCATAATCTTAAAAAAGGTGTGAAGTCTCCAGAAAAATTCTTTGGAAAGAAACAGCAAAAATAAAAAATATTAGAAGTAAAATTTCTAGACTATTTTAAACCATTTCAAATAATGGCACAAAGGTGTCTGTTATCTTTTAGAATTGGAAAGTAACAAAGTGCCTCACTCTACACTTTGTAAGTGAGATGATTTTTCTGATTTTTTTCAATTAAGCATTTTAAGTATTTTATTCAAAATTAGTTTTGCATGTCGGAGGCTGATATCTGGAGGACCATGGTTTGAGGCCAACCCAAGCAAAAAGGTAGTGAGATTCCATCTCAACCAATAGATCAGCATGGTGGCATGCACCTGTCATCCCAATAATGGCAGAAGCTTAAAATAGGAGGATTTCAGTCCAGGTTGGCCTGGGTAAAAAGTGAGACCTTGTATCAAAAATAATCAGAGGAAACAGGCCTGGAAGCATGGCTCAAGCTGTACAGGACCTGTCTATCAACCGATACAACCCTAAGTTCAAACCCCAGTACAGGGGGGGAAAACAAAACAATTTACATTCGTATATAAGCAGTAGTTTTTTCAATTAGCTATTACTAAATTAAAAGAAGTAATATTCAACGAGTTTTAAGAATTCACATGTACCCAACTCTATATTCCTATAAAATAATAGCAGTGCCCTGAATGGTTCTGAGGTAGACACATAACTCAGGGACTTGACTCCTACTATATACCAGTATCATTTTAAATACAGTTTTGGAAACTGAAAAAGAAAAAGAAAGTCTTATTTAAACAAAGGAAAATTCTTAACTATTTTTTTCTTGGTGATGTGGATAGGATCCAGGACCTTGAGTATCCCACCACACACCCAGTCCTGTAGATTACTGAGGTAATTAAAACTGACACAACCTTAAATGATGCTTAGTCTTGAATGGACACTGGAGGGATTCTGATGGTGAGTTGATGTGTCTTGCTCTACGGAAATGTAGTAGTATATAATCTTTTCTCTAATTTCAATTTCAGACCTCTCCTTCTTGAGTCTGAATGCATATTGCCCCCTTTTGTCTTATAAAAGATTCACAGATAATATTCATTTCACAATCAAGAAAAAATATATTTTTAATTTTATACCCTTGTTATTTCAAAAGCATTACTGAATATGTTCTAATCATTATTTCCTCAACTTTCATCATCCAGAAAACATGTTATTCTTCTTGATTTCTGGTTTTTATTAACCTCTAAGAAATTACTCTTTGCTTCCTTCTTTTCTTTCATGTGAACTAATTTATTTTCATTTTTTGTTTTTGGCGTTCTGCCTCTGACAGTATACAAATCCTTACAGTAATCTTTCTGCTGTTTGAACTCTCTAGATAGCCAAGGGTTTGTTGAATTCTCTCACAATGATCAAGTTTATCTGAGCTCTGAAACACCGACTGATGTTCATATTAATGTACTTATAAAATCTCCCTTTCGCTTTCTCAGATACATGTTTCTAACAGTAACTCAGCTGGATATCTTATGGTTTGTTATTTTTTGTAACTGCTTCCTGATATTCATTCTCTGAATCCAAAATTTCACTGCATCCTATCATCCATCAGTTTTTTTCTGTGCACTTCAATACATTAGATCCGAATTCTCTTGGTATATTATATGACAATTGTACAAAGACTTTTCTAAAAGGGAATATTGAATTCTCCTTAAAAGTGGTCACCTCCTACAGTTTTATCTGGTTTTCCTGTCTTTGGTCTCCTCATTTTCTAACCCTTTCTGTTGCAAAGGAACAGCGTAGAGGACTATGTGTTACCTACTCTCTACCTTCGGATGTTTGACTCCTTTTCCTATTGATTAGTTGAATTGGCAAGTGCTTTAAGGTCATATGCTTACAAAATGAGTCAAAGATTTTTTTCTCTCCTTATCCTTCTGCCACAATTCCCTAAAAATTTCATCTTCTCATAATTTTGAAGATTGAATGTATTTTTATTTAGGAAGCTCTTAGTAAGCACTAAATAAATGCTAGCCATTTGATAATACCAATCTCTAAGTGCAGGGTTTTGCCACATCTTACTGAAAGACATAAAACAATTACTATTTTGTACTATATCATCAATTAAACATTCTTCCATTTGATCTTTAAAACTTCTTAAAACTAACTCCATCTTTTCTAATTATCACTCTTGTTAATTCAGTATTATTGTCACATTCTCTATCTTATTCCCTTCTTCACTACATTTAGTTGACTATAGCTTTTTCCATGCTTTTAATTAGACCTTTGATATCTAACTGCAATCCTTTCAAAATTCTATATTTCTTCAAAATTCATCTTCAAATCTCACCATCCTGAAGCTTCATAAATACTCTGAGAGATTTCTCTTTCTAAATAGCATTTATTTTTCCAAATTATACACAATTCAATTCTAGAATCTCTGAAGTATCTGTTATTTTTTTCTATAAGATATACTTTTCCCTAGTTATATCTTAAACTTTTTGAGATGAAAATTTATTTTACCCCACCTTAATTGTTACAGAAAAATCACATTTTGATGCCTTGAAACTCTCTTCTCATGATTAACTATCATAAGCTTAGAATATAATACAGGCACTATTTGTTACATAAAGAAGAAAAAATTAGATGCTTAATGCTCAGCTATTGATCATTAAAAATATATAAGAAAAATAGTCAATCTAAAAGGCTATGTCCTGAGAAATTGTAACTTTATCAGATGACTTTTTCAAAGCATATTATAATCTCTGTGTTCATACAGACACTGAGTCTGTCCCTGTCTCTGCAGAAGATCCAGGTGGGAACCACAGACAATAGAGTACCAAGTATATTGGAACAATAGCAATTCTGTCTCACACTAGTAGACAAGACTCACCGCACCATAACCTGTCGATCTTTATTGGTTTACATCAAAATTACTATCTAGAAAACTGGGAATTCCAGGAAAGTGGATATGGCTGAATTTAAAATACTATACCATATATATTTATAATACAATAATTAATTATTTAATTAATATTATACATATATTAATCAATATAATACACTATTTAATTATATAATACACAATATATTTTTAGGCCTAAACACAAGAGGTTGAAGATCTGCAGTATGTTACAAATAGTCATTTGTAGTGTTATTGAGAAAATATAGCATGCAAATATAGGAATTATTATGTAAGTGCTCTATGTGTATAGTAAGACAACAGATACAATTATATGCTGAGAGGTTTCTTATAACTTTAAAACCTTTAACATTTTTAACTAAAGAGAAAAAAAGTGGAAAGTGGCAATTTCTTGTCCTCATTAGTCACATTTGAAATCAGCTCTTCCTAGTAATTTGTCAATTAAGTCAATGCTTTAGTACAATGACCGGGTATTTGTTTACATTCCTAGGAAAATCAGCTTGCCAAGCACAGAAGAACTGTTGAGAGAGATAAAGGTCTTGGTAATAACAGCAATTTCAGTCTGAATTGACAGGTCTAACACGTTTGTCAGGTTCTCCACTGTGCACATGTACCCTCTGCCTAGCTCACTGGAATCATAACCAATCTGACTGCCAAAGCCAGTGCTCAGTTAAGTTTTACTTGGCTAGCATTAGGCTTTTTAAAAAAGTGTGCACACATGCCTTTGGCCAGGACAGAAACACTCAAGTTCACAGTGGTTCTTGTTCTTTATTTCACCTTGTCTTTGGCAGCTTAATTTCTTTTTTAACCCTTTTCTCCAAACTCATGAAGCCATTTGAATTTGCCACCCCACATTTAGGACTTCAGAGATCTGCTTTCATTCTGTCTTCCCGGAACTAAAATTCCTGGTGAGTGTGAGACTAGTTAGGATGAACTAGAGTGACAGTTGATTGCTGTGCAAATCCTGTCTAAAACTAAAGTCAATTTATGATGTATACTCTTATGCGTCCTACACAATATATTCCTGAGGTATTTTCTGAGGTAATTTCTGAATCAAATACAAAACTTTGTACATAGGAAATGTTATGAGGTAATTAGAAAGAACAGTTTACCAAAAATTTCTGCTTAAATATTGAACACAATGTTTGAAATTATATATATATAGATATATGTTATGTGTACACACACATATATATGTGATTCTATTTTTCTCAGTATTAACCAAAGTGCAACAATTTTCATACATTTTTTCCTTACAAAATATGTATATCATTTCTATTCAAAAGCATGGTGACAAACTCTCTGGACATAATTAAAGGCAATTATTTCTACTAACCCACGTATTTATACGTTGCTTTTTATATTTAAGAAAGCAATGTATTCAGGTTGTGTCTTCATTATGCTTGTAACATTTCACACATAGTCACCTCATCATGTAGAATTACTGTACTGATTCACAATGACCACATGGAACATACAAAATTACCACAAAGCATAATTCAGGCACTCAAAGTAAAAAAAGACAGAAGATAGAATGAGTCAGAGTGGCAAAAGGTATTTTTTTATATTACTTTTACCTTTTTAATTGTCTTTTCAATAAGCATATCTCCAACTGGCATTAGAATACCTCCAAACACAGCCAAGACTGCACCAATGACAGCCCCAGCGATGAGGCCACAGTTCCGATCGCAGCCCATTTCTCTTGTACAGGAGACAAATCAAGGTTAAGCACCTGTTTTTTCTTCTGTTTTTTTTTTTTCTCAAACTTCCAACTATGATTGAGGTGTTTTCTGGGTGAGCTGTTTCTATCATTAGAAAGAGATCATAAAACAGCAGCTTAAATATCAGTACAAAAAGATCAAAGTACAGAGAAAACACGCCACGGAAACACCTGATTTTTTGCCAGCTTTAAATAAACAAATGTTTTTCTTTTTGTTTTACTGAACTGGCTTTCTAGGTCTTTCTCTCTTCTCTTGCTCCTAAGAACCTATCAGAGGCAGAAATGAGACAGAGTGTTTCTGCAAGTTTTTTTTTTTCAGTTTTTTCCTATGGATGATTAACATATTGAAGTCTTATCTTAGGAGAACCATGATTACATACTCTTGTCCTCCTCAACCGTCCCTCCTCCCTGGATGCTTTAATGAATCCTCACTCCCTATCTGGCATCTCCACCCAAACACAACCACCAACACAAGGCCAAGAGTTCTCCGGCAAACTGAATGTGGCTGAGCTGATATCTTCTCTAAATGCTAAGCCAATAAGGTAACAAATGATGTTCTCACTATACCTTATTCACGAGCAAACAGCAAGTTATGGCTTTTATAAAAAATAAACTGATGAGTCTCAGAAAGAATCAGTACTTTGAATCACTTGTAAGCTACCTGTTGAAACAAGAAAGCATGGGTAAGTAGGGAAAATACATTGTCAAAAAGTTAATGCTAGGGTATGCTTTAATATAACTATAATTGTAGTAACTATTAAAAAGAAAATTCCATTTTTCATGAATATGTCTGAAATATTTCCCTTAGTGACAGTGTGGAAAGTACTAAATTATTTTGAAGAAGTGTATTTTTAATTTCATTGTTAACAATTACTTCAAAATAGACTATGGATATAAAGAATTTGAAGAAAAAAATTGTAGAGGACATCACGTTTTAATAATAGGGATTGCTTTTTTATCAGTCTCAAAGAATTTTTTATATCTAGATCCATGTATATCACCCTATACCAAGATTAACTCAAAATGGATCAAGGATCTTAATATCAGACCCCAAACTCTTAAGTTGATACAAGAAAGAGTAGGAAATACTCTGGAGTTAGTAGGTATAGGTAAGAACTTTCTCAATGAAACCCCAGCAGCACAGCAACTAAGAGATAGCATAGATAAATGGGACCTCATAAAACTAAAAAGCTTCTGTTCATCAAAAGAAATGGTCTCTAATCTGAAGAGAACACTCACAGAGTGGGAGAAAATATTTGCCAACTATACATCAGACAAAGGACTGATAACCAGAATATACAGGGAACTTAAAAAACGAAATTCTCCCAAAACTAATGAACCAATAAAGAAATGGGCACGTGAACTAAACAGAACTTTCTCAAAAGAAGAAATTCAAATGGCCAGAAAACACATGAAAAAATGCTCACCATGTCTAGCAATAAAGGAAATGCAAATTAAAACCACGCTAAGATTCCACCTCACCCCTGTTAGAATAGCCATCATCAGCAACACCACCAACAACAGGTGTTGGCGAGGATGCGGGGAAAAAGGAACCCTCTTACACTGTTGGTGGGAATGTAGACTAGTACATCCACTCTGGAAAAAAATTTGGAGGCTACTTAAAAAGCTGGACATCGATCTACCATTTGATCCAGCAATACCACTCTTGGGGATATACCCAAAAGACTGTTACTCCAGAGGCACCTGCACACCCATGTTTATTGCGGCACTATTCACAATAGCCAAGTTATGGAAACAGCCAAGATGCCCCACCACTGACAAATGGGTTAAGAAAATGTGGTATCTATACACAATGGAATTTTATGCAGCAATGAAGAAGAACGAAATGTTATCATTTGCTGGTAAATGGATGGAATTGGAGAACATCATTCTGAGTGAGGTTAGAAAAACCTAGCTAGCATTTGTTGCCCTTAACGCAGAGAAACTAAAGCAGATACCTTAAAGCAACTGAGGCCAATAGGAAAAGGGGAACAGGTACTAGAGAAAAGGTTAGATCAAAAAGAATTAACCTAGAAGGTAACACCCACGCACAGGAAATCAATGTGAGTCAATGCCCTGTATAGCTATCCTTATCTCAACCAGCAAAACCCCTTGTTCCTTCCTATTATTGCTTATACTCTCTCTACAACAAAATTAGAGATAAGGGCAAAATAGTTTCTGCTGGGTATTGAGGGGGGGAGCGGGAGGGGGCGGAGTGGGTGGTAAGGGAGGGGGTGGGGGCAGGGGGGAGAAATGAACCAAGCCTTGTATGCACATATGAATAATAAAAGAAAAATGAAAAAAAAAGAATTTTTTATATATCTAACTGTAATATTATTCATATTTTCCTTTGCAAAGATTCATGCAAATTCTATTAAAACCGACTAGTTTGTGCTACTATGTATTTCACCTCACCAGTTCTATTTATGGTATCTCTATGTAGTATATTATCATCACATTAAGATTGGAAGGAAACAATTTAGGGAATGAATGGATCTTGTTATAATAAAATGAAAATGTAAAATGAAAAGTGTCAATTCTCATCAGTATTTGAAAACACATTCATTTGAAATATTCTTATTATAATGGCATGTTTTGTAATGGGGTTGACCTGTTACTAGTTTTGTAGCTCATAAATAAATATTCCTTACTTCAAAATGTTCATAGCCAATAAAAATATAAATGCTAGCAGAATGGAGACTGCAGACAAATGTGAAGCACACTGAGAAAACTGTTGTCCACACTCTAAGGGTAACAATAAAAATGATGTTTGTCACAATCTCAGGCTTTCCCTCCACAGCTTTTGGTAACACAACTATCACTCTTATGATTTTATTAGTATCTATCTACACTTTAAGTTTTTCAAAAACATTACTTGCATTAAGAAGATATTGTAATATCTTCCCCAAATAGAGGGGCATAAGTGGTATAATTCTGGGTAATTTTATTTATTTACTCTTTCTTATTCCTTGAAAGTTCCTTCTACCTATGCCCTTCTACCTAAGATAGTTCCACTGTAACTCATAGGAATTGACAGATTCATTAGCACCAAGACCACACAAGTTTTCTAGTGTTGCAAATGAAAGGAAAACATGTAAGCCAAAACAAGTGGTGCAATTTTACTGTGGAATTTTATGTTTCATTGGGCACATGGGGCTGGTTTCTATTAATTATTTGGGGATGGAGTATGAAGAAGATCTTTCCTTGCCCTTTGAATTCATGTCACACTCCACCACCTATGGCTTTTGCCAGTTGTCATAAAACAATGGAGCCAGTTATTTAAGGCTGATAAAGACTGAATATTATCAAGTAGAGGTTTCTTTGCAAAGCATAATTATAAAACACCTTAAACTTTTCTTGAAACATAATCTTTGAAGCAACTATACCAATGGCTAAGTAGAAGATAAAATTCTGGGTTCTGTATGCTGTGAACCAATAATCAAACCTGCAAGTTACCTTCAAGTAGCAATCAAAATACAGGGATCCAATCTGTGCAATTGAGATTAGGAAACTGGAAATTAAACCAAAGTTTGACTCATTGCCAAAGACAATGGGCAAATCTCTTAATCTCTCTATATACCTTTCAGTTTTTTCTGTTAAAATGATATCTAAGATGAGATCAGAAATTTGGTTGTTGTTTTAGTTTTAGTTAAGGTCTTGCTATGTAGATCCTGGCCTTGAACTCAGGATCTCCCTGTCTCAGCCTTCTGAGTGTTGGGATTAGAGATGTGTGCCACTGTGGCTGACAAATCAGCAGTTTTTAATATAAGTAACTGAACTCAATTCTTGCATGGGAGGCTCACCAGGCCCAGTGATTATCATCACACCGCAGTAGTGATAACCCAGAGACTCTCATTCCTAACTATCTACTCCTGCCTGACACTCTTCTTTCTCATTTTAGGAGAAACTCTGTAGGACCTATGACTTTGTAAACCCATTAAAAAACAGTCAGAAATCCTGTGTCCAATTTCATTATACAATGAAACTCTAGGAAAGAACATACGTAACTCCAAGACTGACTCATTTCTTTTACAAAGTTATTATATGTTCTATATATACTTCATTAAGAATTATTCACTCATTCAATATTAATAACACAACTCTGAAATATGGAAAATGAAATGATTTAAAAATTACCATTCTATTGCTGCTAAAATAGATAATGTATGCATGTATTTGCCCCGTTTAGATTCTCTGCCAAGACATAGCCATGGATCTATCAAAATTACTCCTCTTTATCAAAGTACCTCAAGTATTATGGTAGAGTTTTGTAAGGAGCAAAGAGTATCTATGGGAGAATCCAAGGGTCAGCACCCACTCTCAATTCCTGGGAACTAATCCTTGTGACCACTGTGGACTCAAAGTCCAGGTATGTTGAGCACTGGACAGAACTGGGTACTGTCTGGGCTGTGTGTGCTTTCACTCTAAAGCTGAAGTGAGATAGTGCACATATCCCACAGCTGTTGAGTCAAGTTCATTAGAAAACAGAAGTATCAAATAATGCAAATATTGAATCATATGCTACATAACTTTTTAATCTAACATTAGCTTAGATGATACATAAGCAAAGATACACATATTAATCTAACATTATTTCAACCATACACTGGCTTGAGAGAGAGGAGAGATTAAACGTGTCTACTTGATGAGATTTTAAGTTGATTGAGTCACTTTTATTATCTTGGTATAAGAGTCTTGGATTTTTTGCTCCTAAAAACAGGAAAGATACTTAAGTTTACGTGGGTTTATTTATTAACACCCCTGTGACTTGACGCCATGTGTCATGAAGTATTGCTGGTATAATCATACTTTATCCTTAGATTGAATACTACAAAAAATAATTCGTTTTATTTACTTGAAGCAAGAGGACAAAATATAATATGTAAGACATGCACTGAGTATATAAGAGTTCAGGTTACATAGCACATTCTGTGCAACAGCTTTTCCACCCATCTTTATCTACAGACAAAAAGTATAGTCTGTCTCTACTTTTCCATTAATTTTATCTATTAAAGCATACAAAATTTGGGCCTAGCACTCTCAGTTTCCTTAATACAGCTCCTTACATTTTAAAATAGGCAATTAATTTCATTTGCTAATTTTAGATTAAATGTTATTTTTTACTAATTATTTGCCCTTTGTAAGAAGAGGACAAGATATTGATATCTATAATAATTTACTTCTGCCTTAAAGCACTCAAATTTAGTAGATAAAGAATAATCAGATGCAATTAAACTTATGTAAAACAGGAAGAGAAAATAGAGGGGTGTGGTTTTGTGTGTGTGTGTGTGCATGCTTTTTTCTTTTATTTATATGTGCATACAATGTTTGGGTCATTTCTCCTCCCTTCCCCCCGCCCCTTTCCTTACCAACCCCCCAGAACGGCATGTTTTAAGATGTCACTAATCACACATCTCCTGACTCTTCTAGGTAAATCAGCTAACTCCTATCTAGTTTACAGATTACAAATGGATTCCTTTTGTAGAACTCATGAGTGGATTCTATTTCCTGTGGGCTGTCATTGAAAGGAGCAGGAAAAATAGACTTTTCTTTTTCTTGCTGTCAGATTTTCAGAGTGTTTTTATAATGAACTTTTAAGTAATAATGCCCTTCCACTATATTGGGAAACTGGTAGAGACAAGACTGAGGAGAGCCTGTGGC